AAGTTTTGTTTTATTTTAAATAGAACACTAGAATATTTTGATCTTGCGCTATTTTGTCCTGCGCTATTTTGTCCTGCGCTGTTTTGTCCTTGCGCTATTTTGTCCTTGCGCTATTTTGTCCTGCGCTATTTTGTCTTGCGCTATTTTGTCCTTGCGCTATTTTGTCTGCGCTATTTTGTCCTGCGCCATTTTGTCCTGCGCTGTTTTGTCATGGAGCCCAAAATTTCACCCATCGATCACAGATGTCTATCCTGTCTTTCGGGGTGTATGACCTGAAGGCCATGTGGTTTATTGATAATATTTTACAGCAAATGTCAAGCCTGCCCTTAAACGAAACCGGGGTGGTATCTCAAAGGAAAATACGTAAATCTTTTGACTAACCACTGAAAATACAGACATTAGATTATGTACTAATTTCATCTAGGTGGTGCGGGACGTGATATGAAGGAAATATTTATGGACGGCAAGCGTCGGAAATAAGGCGTGGGACGTTGAGCGTCGAAATGAGTGTACGGTAGGAAATACTTAGATGGTGAGGAATGTGACAGCGTTCGAGACGTAGGGAATAGGACGGCAGGACGTTGGGCGTCGAGACGTTGACACCTTTGGGAAATAGGAGGTATTGTGGGATAGATGTCGTTTAGGAAGGGTACAGACTATATAACTGGGAACAGACAATAAAGTGATTGCTTGAATGTAAAATAATAAAATGTATGCTTGCACATCAAATGATAAAAATTAAATGAATATGAGCTCCTTTTCGTCAGACTTTTTATACACAGTTTAATCGTTTTTGTGACGTCTCTATCGTTTTGGTTCTCATAGAAAATACAAATGTGGGTGCAAAAGGGGGTGGGTTATTTATTACTTGTTTTGAAAGCTTTGTGTATTGAAATATTGTCGAAATCGGTCTAGAAATATAAGCGAGTTAAGTGTTTTAATGATAATTACTTCGTAAACAGAAATACGCTTTATGGTGTTTTCTTTGGGCTGGTTCTCAGAGACACGTGGACTAATTTTGGATCTTTACGGACGTGGTTATAGCTATTATTTATTAGGTGTCGTAAATAAGATTTAATTATCTGGGAGAGTTTTCGTTAAATGAAGCATTTTGAATTTAAAAGAATGTAATATTGTATTTAATAAATGAAATTAATAAATTATAAAGGTACCTGGGTGCGGTAGGTTACAGCACCCTTTGTTCACTGATTAGACACAACGTAACTTTTTATCTAATTTAACTTAACCCCTAGGCCGACGCCCCAAGCCAGCATGACCCCGTATCCATTCTTTTTTCGCATTCCGCACGGTGTTTTTCATATTGACTCATTGTTTAGATAATAATAAACTGCTGATAATTAAAATATTTTGTTAGATGCATTTTATAATATACTGGGCGTCATTTAATTTATTTATTTAGATATTTATTAATTATTTTATAACGTAACAGTAGATTAGATTAGATTAGGAGTTGGACGTTATTTGTCCTTGTCCACCGCGACCTTTTCAGATCTATTGTGGGACTCCGTTTGTTTTAGAGTATGTCGTCTAGCCTGGTCTTTTTTATTAGACTTAGTAGCTTTGACAGTGGCTCCCGCATGTAGTTGCATGCAATTGGCTTTTCTTCGCCCAATGTTAGAAACCTCATTCCAGCCAAGCCTTCACATTGGCACAGGACGTGGAATGATGTTTCCTCTTCTTCTTCACAGAACCTGCACAAAGTTGCTTCTTCTGCTGGATTTATGACACTCATGTGCCTTTTGAGGCGACAGTGTCCAGTAAGAAGGCCTACTGTTATCCTAACGATTTGACGTTTTTGATCCAGTAGGTCTTTCGTAAACTTGGCCGATGGTTCCTTGATGAACTGTAACAGTATTATATCTGTTAAATATTTCCTTGTCTTTAAAGAAACGGTTCTAGTGTTCTTCTTTATGTTGTAAAGATGTTTGCTATAATTTTTAATGCAATGATTTGTGCATTCTGAAATTAAAAATACAATAACGTAAACTAATATAATAGATATTAAAATGTGTACCTACCTTTACACGGAAAAATTGTTTATTATCCACCACTCAATATGAAATAGAATTATTCAAGAACCAAATCGTTTTTTTATACAACTCCCCCTACTACCTTTAAACGTAATGGAAATAAATCAAAATATTAAAAATTTAAACTTTTGTTACTGTGATGTTCATAATTCTTTTCTCTAATGAGAATGAAACTCACTTTTCTTAGAATGCAGGTAGTTAAAATTGAATTATTTTTATTTCCTAAAACCTTAATAAAATTTATAACCTTAATCTATGAACATAATGAATTTTAAAATCAAATAACTACTTCTTTGAGTCATATTTGACCAAAGGCTGACATGGAATCAACATCTCAAAAAACTCACACATAAAGCTACAATAGCTCTCGTAAGCTGTAGAAGAATATGTGGGAAAAACTGGGGTCTAAACCCCAAAATGACCATATGGTTATACACAAGGGTAATAAGACCCATGATAACCTATGGCTCAGTGGCGTGGTTAACCAAAACTGCGCAGGCAAGTGCAATAGGCCAACTCACTAGCATTCAGCGGCTTGCCTGTCTAAGTGCTACTGGGGCCATGCGCACTACGCCGACCGCAGCAATGGAGGTATTACTAAATCTCACGCCATTGCACATCTTCATACAAGGAGAAACCAGGTCAGCTATTCACAGGCTAATGCAGGGACAAAACCCAATAAGCCAACTACATAGCGCCAACCACACAAGGCTATATCAGCAAGTACAAAGGGATAATATTCTAGCTATGCCTACTGATAGAGCCATAACCACATACAAATTTGAAAGAAATTTTCAAATTCAAATACCAGCCCGAGAATCCTGGAAACAGGGACCTCCCGTACAGGCTGAACTCGTCTGGTACACAGACGGTTCAAAAACCAAGGAAGGAGCCGGTGCTGGAATCTATGGACCTAAGTCGAAATCAACGATTTCACTAAGCTTAGGAAAATATGCAACAGTGTTCCAGGCTGAGCTAATAGCCATACAACACTGTGCAAGAGAAATATTAAATCAGCAAGTATCAGGCAAAACTATTGCCATATACTCTGATAGCCAAGCAGCTCTAAAGGCAATTCTCTCACCAGAAATCAAATCACGACTGGTGAAAGACTGTCTTGAAGACCTGACAGAGCTAAGTAGTCAAAATAAGGTGACCTTAGCCTGGGTTCCAGGCCATGAGGGATATCAGGGCAACGAAAAGGCCGACGAATTAGCCCGAGAAGGCTCAGATAAGGCCATGACAGGCCCTGAACCCTTTTGTGGAGTCGCTAAGGCATTGTGCAAGGCATCCATTAAACAATGGATGCAAAAAGAGTCTCAGGAATGGTGGAACAACTATCCAAGACTGAGACAGGCCAAACAGTTCATCAAGGAACCATCGGCCAAGTTTACGAAAGACCTACTGGATCAAAAACGTCAAATCGTTAGGATAACAGTAGGCCTTCTTACTGGACACTGTCGCCTCAAAAGGCACATGAGTGTCATAAATCCAGCAGAAGAAGCAACTTTGTGCAGGTTCTGTGAAGAAGAAGAGGAAACATCATTCCACGTCCTGTGCCAATGTGAAGGCTTGGCTGGAATGAGGTTTCTAACATTGGGCGAAGAAAAGCCAATTGCATGCAACTACATGCGGGAGCCACTGTCAAAGCTACTAAGTCTAATAAAAAAGACCAGGCTAGACGACATACTCTAAAACAAACGGAGTCCCACAATAGATCTGAAAAGGTCGCGGTGGACAAGGACAAATAACGTCCAACTCCTAATCTAATCTAATCTAATCTACTTCTTTGATCCTCTAAGTCTTGTAATAAGTATTATAATAATAAATTGTCTAGACTTAGGTACTTAATACCTACTTACGGAAAATGAAATCATTTTAATTTAGTCCCAGTATTTTTAAAATTTGTATCTTATATTGTGAAACAATGAAAATGAGAGCAATTTGTTTTTCTATCTTATGGAGTTAAAAATTCTTTTAAAATCAATATAAGAGGTAAATAATTATTTCCACAGGTGTCAACGATATACGGCATCAACTATTATGGGATTTAAACCCGAATCGCCGAATCCAAAATCCCAAGATCTGCCCATTTCTTTATTAATGGTATTAATTTATATACATCATTTTTATAAATCTAAATATTTCGTTTTCAGCTAAAGCAAAAATCGGTTTTTCAATTATAGGTGATTATAAATTTTCTCCGTATTTAAAAAAATTAAATTTATCTTTTTTTGAAAACATGGATCTAGCAATCAGTATGTAGGTATATAGAATTAATAAATACAAATAAAAAACTCGTTTTTAAAAAAATTAAAAAATAAATAATTATATAATTACTTTATTGGCCTGTGTTATCAGTATTTGTCGTCAATCATTACATTTGGGCTCGGTGCTTTAATATATTAAACTAATCTACATTTTATTACTATACTCATTAAGCTTTCCCACCAAAAATGTACGTCATTTGTATCGTTAATCGTTAAAATATTTCAACAAACTCTACTAATTATTTTATTGACAGGCTTAAACATTAATACAGAGTTTTATGTTTTTTATCATTTAAATAATTATGAAAAATGTAATTAAGAAGTACTTCTAATTTTGACGTATTTTATAATCAAAACGACCGAATATATAAAGTGAAACATTATGAAACTGGTTATTCATTTATTATGCCACCACTTGTGAAAAGAAAACAAACAAAACTAAACCCTTTCTTGTTTTAAAGTCAATCTGAAAGTTTATATCTAAAGAATAAAGGTTTGCTTTATAAAAATAGACTTTGATAATAAACCTAGTAATATTTCTATTTCGGTTTTACTATTTTCCATCACAAAACTTCACAAAATAATCGCAAACACTGATCCACTTTCATTTAATACACGCTACCCTATAATATGCATTGTAGCGACATATTTCATTAATTGAATCTATTTTTTTTTTTAGTTAGCTGGCTTAGCTTTAATAATAATTGGAATATTAATAAAGTTCAATGTCAGTGAAGTAACGAAGATTCTTCCGACAGATTTTGGTCTAGCTCCCATTCTGTCAATCATAATCGGCGCTATCGTCTTCGTGACAGCTTTCCTTGGATGTTGTGGTGCCGTCAAAGAAAGTACTTGCATGTTAACAACGGTAAGTTATTTTTTTTATTATTCTTTGGTACACTCAATGACTTTCACAATAAACTGGATGTTTATACGAAAAACAAACAAATTATTGAATATCTTAAACTAGCAATTTTTTTGAGAAATCACAAAAAAAAAACAATATCATTAACTGTCATACGTCATTTTTTTCCTTCCGTCGCTCTAAATGAATGCTGTAAACTCACTTTAGTTAACAGCAGTTGAATTTTTAACTGGTTATATTTTAAATACAAAAAATATCATATTAAAAACGAGGTTCACAGTTTAAACCAAGGATTCCCAATCTATTTTGGGCAAGAGACCCTTTTTCCAAATTAAACTGATACCTCAGACACCCATAGCCAAATTACTTTAAAAATCCTGTCTCTAATATTTTCCTCTCCTCGTCTATGCTGATGGTGATCAACTCTTCTTGCATTATCACATTGGTTTCTTCCATGGCTGCTATATTGAACAGAATTATTTTCCATCGAGGAATATGTAAATTTAAGAGGTCCCCAAACCTCTTAGGAAAATCCTTGTGTAACGCTTTCAAGAGATGAGTGACATAATATGTGAAAATGTATGATTTGTGGATGAGAGAAATCCCCTTTTTTATTAATGAGAATTGGAATAGAGAAAATTATTTACCAGTGCTCCGAAAGTCTACAAATTCCAATGAATGTGATATGGTTCTAGCAGGATAAAGCTGTAATGTTAGGACAGGCGGACTTTCTTGTCTTAAAGTAAAAATATTATTAGTTGTAAATAGACTTCACAATTAAAAATAATAAAGAATGTAAACCAACCAGACATAAAGCACGGTTAGTTGCAAGAGGTTTCAGTCAGCAATATCTTCAGGACTATGTCGATACTTTTGTACCAGTTGCCAAGATTACAACTCTAAGATTTCTCTTAACTTCTGCAAATCAATTTGATTTAAAAATCCACCATATGGATGTAAACACCGATTTTCTGAATGATAACCTCAAAGAGGGAATTTATATGGAAGTCCTTGAAGGTTTTACATCTCGATGCTGGTGTGAACGTTTCGATCATACTCTCAAGGATGTGCAATTTAATAGTTCTAAAGTAGATCCTTGTTTATATGTTCTAGATCAATGGTCGCCAACCTGTCGATCGCGAGCTACCAGTAGCTCGCGGAGGCAATTCTAGTAACTCTCACAACGATTTTAATTTAAAAAATACAAACTGCAAAAATCAGAGAAGCTTCCGAAAACTCCACAAAAAATCTAATTGTCATAATATTAAACATAAACAGCGGCAACGTTGCGGTGAGCGATCTGCCGCTGACGCCATCAAGCTAGACTCGGCTAGAACCGACCAGCCGGACCAGCGCGTTAGTGTTCGAGAACGATCAGGATTGCTTTGAACGGAATAAATACGCACGGCGCGGCGACATTGCGCTTAGTTTAAAACTGAACGCGTAACCAATAGACATGGGTAACGCACTAAAATTCTTTGCGTTGATACACTAACTCCGGCGCACTCTATTGCGCCAACTCATTGCGTTAACGCAATTGCGTTATTGCGTCACACCACTGCCTGCGCCGAATGAAGTCGATGCACCTCGGTGTATCGCATGATACCGGTGTTATTCAGAGCGGGCTGTCCTTTTATCTTTTATAAGGGTCAAACCGTGTTCAAGGCAATAACGCAATTGGGAATTTAACTAATTTTTTTTATTATTTGTTTAAAAATATAACAGTGTAATGCACCCATTTTTTTATTTCATTGTGTTCGGATTTTACAATGAATACAAAAATTACAATTTATATAAAAATGATATAACTTTTGTATACTATACTAAAGAACTAAAAACTGCCAGTGTACAAAGTTAAAATTCATAAAATTCGACCTACAATCCTACAAATGATGTGACATGTTGCAAAGAACATAATTACTTGATAGATTTTGGGTAATCTGCATTACGAGTTGCATCAATTACGTAAATTAAAATTCTCAACTCGTCACGGAAAACGGAATCAGTGCCTGGCGCATGGCGCACGGCGCACCAACAACTCGCGATCCTTTCGACTCAGTATCGAAAATTTCGTTGCGCTGATACAGTAACAGATGGTGTATCAACGCTCGTAACGCATACAACTGCGTTAACGCAATAACGCAACGCAGCGCTGCGTTACCCATGTCTAGTAACCAACGTCCAGCGGTTGGGTTAGTAGAGAACAACAAAAAGCAATATTATGGCAAGCAGTTGTAAGAAGGTAAAGACATACCACTTTCATTCGGAATGGGAAGAACAATACTTTTTTTACAGAAGTTAAAGATAAAAATGTGTGTTTGTTATGTAATACTTCGGTCTCCGTTGCTAAAAAAGGAAATATTGAGAGACATCATAAAACTGTACATTCTAATTTTGAAAAATCATTCCCACTACATTTTGCCGCCAGAAAGGAGAAACTGAAACAGTTAAAAAAGCAGTTAATTGGACAACAACCAATATTTTTAAGAACAGTCGACAAAAATAAGGCTGCAACTGAAGCATCGTACCGTGTGTCTCAGATAATTGCACAAAAAAAAAGAAACCTTATGAAGACGGGGAAATGATAAAACAGGCGTTTTTAGAAGCTGCTGATTCGTTATTTGCCAACTTTAGAAATAAAGACGAGATAATTTCAGCTATAAAATTTATGCAACTTTCTGCTAATACAGTGATGAGACGTGTAGAAGTAATGAGCAATGATATTTTTTTACAGTTAAGAACTGACTTAGATAACTGTGTTTATTTTTCACTTCAACTGGATGAATCAACAGATGTCGTTGACACTGCCCAGATGGCCGTGTTCGTCAGGATAGTTTTTAGTGATTTTACGATTAAAGAAGATCTTTTGAAGTTTATTCCACTGAAAGGACACACTACTGGACAGGAGTTGTTTTCTTATTTAAAAAATATTATTTCTTCCGACAAAATTCCAATATCGAAAATGGTAGGCTTGGCAACCGATAGCGCTCCAGCTATGGTGGGTTGTGATAAGGGTCTGGTGGCGTTATGTCGTAAAGATGAAACTTTTCCGCAATTTCTCTGTTACCACTGCATTATGCATCAGCAAGCATTATGTACAAATTTCCTGAAACTAAACAACGTTATGAAACTGGTGGTAAAAATTGTGAACAAGATTAGAGCTCAAGCGTTACAAAGAAGATTATTCAAAACCTTGGCCGATGAAGTTGACTGTCAATACGGGGACCTACTCCTTCACTCTGAAGTCCGATGGTTAAGTAGAGGACGGGTGCTGAAACGTTTTAATGATGTCCTATCTGGCATAGTTCAATTTTTCAAACAACGCGATGAACCGACTCCGGAACTAAAAAATTCAATCTGACTTAGAGATTTTGGTTTTCTCGTGGACATTACAGAGAAATTAAACGAACTTAATTTGCAGCTTCAGGGGAGAGACAAAGAACTAGCGGAAATGATTTCTAATATAGAAGCATTTATCAAAAAGCTGGAGTTTTGGGAACAAAACCTAATTAACAGCGATGCCAAGCATTTTCCTATTCTTTCAGAAAAAATATCTCAAAATCCATTAGAACCCTATGACAGCAAATATCATGTAGAAATAGTTTCTACCCTGAAGAATAACTTCAAAAATCGTTTTAAGGATTTCAACGAAATGGCTTTAGTAGCGCAGTTTGTTGTTTCACCCTTTATAATAATAATAATAATAATAATAAACTTTATTTGCAACTTCCAGTTTTTTATACATATAAAAATATTCAGAAAAAAAGTGCCAAAGAAGGCTGCAAAAAGGACTGGTGAACAGTGGATACTGATCAAAGCACCAGCCCTGAGTATTACCAACGCCACAGGACATCGTACAAAAAACAATATAAAAATAAACACAAATGATAGTGAGAAAAAAAAGTATAAACATTCTAAAAAGTAGCTATCACTCTGCTGTGTCAATAAGAAACTTTTTGTAAAATTTTTTAAATTTACTTACAGACATTTCTTTAAAATGTTGTGGGATAACCTTGTACATTGCATAAATATTATAAGTGAAAGACCATCTGAAAATAGCAGTATTATGTATTGGAGGTGAGATACGACCACAAATGGAAATTGATATCAAACAGTTTGCAACTTGTGTTATGCAGAACTTTGGCGAAGACATCGCTGCAACAGAAATGGAAGTCATTGAGTTTTAAAATGATTTAGCCTTAAAATCGTTAGTCTCAAGTACCAAATGTATCTGGCCTATTGTAAGTAAAGATAAATATTCAGTTCTATGCGGTGTTGCCTTGAAAGTGAAAGCATTATTCAGTTCAACCTATTTGTGTGAATTTTCTTTTTCCAATATGAAGTTTATTAAGAACAAATATCGTAATCGACTTACCGATGAACATTTGGATAATTTTATTCGAATGGCTGTATCAAATTATATTACAAACATTAAAAAAATTATCCATGAGTCTGAGTGTCAGCCTTCTCATTGAACGTGCTTTTTTATTTTTCAATGTTTATGTTCATGATAGTGCGTTACTTTTTTGTTGTTATTATTAACTATTTTTAAATCTTACGTGACATGCCGTTGTGGCTGGATAAAAGTTTGTGTTTATTTTTCAAACACCTTCGTTTGGTAGGTAGGAAAGTAGCTATGAACAAGTACGTATTAGTAATATTAGTTATTTTGTTATTAGTTTATTATTAGTACCTATGTATTATGTATTACCAGTTAAATAGTAAAATAAATACATATAATGATAAATTAACTGTGGATTATTTCATTTACGTTGCGTTCATCATCATCTGAATTAGGGCGTGGTTCAAAGCCCACTTGTACTGAAGCTCTAGGCTTATTGTACCCCTCACAGTTTCTATCTCATCAGATTGATTTTCTTGATGAATTCAAGAATATGTCTGATGGGCGCTTTCGCGATTTCTTCAGGTTCCGGATATTGTACCCCGAATTACCATTCTCGTTCCCATTTAAGGTTCCGGCAGTGGCATAGTATGTGAATAGGAGTTTCGTCCTCCTCTTCACATATTCTGCATAGGGAGTCATCAGATATCCCTAAGAGATTTAGGTGTCTTCTAAGGCCGCAGTGTCCCGTAAGGAGTCCTATTACGGCCTTGAGTTCGCTTCTGCTAAGGTTTAGCAGTTGTTGTTGTCTGCTCGTGGATGGCCCCTCTATGAATCTTTTGGTGTGGGTAGCTCGCTGTTTATTCCAAAATTAACAAAGTAGCTCAACACATTAAGAGGTTGGCGACCACTGGTTTAAACCAATCAAACATTTTAGATAAATCTCTTTCTGCTTTGATTTTTAGACGGTCCCAATCACAATATAGATAAAAACATTTATATTATTCTATATGTGGGTGACCTGGTAGCCATTTTAAATAGAGAATGAAAAGACCTTTTAAATCACAATTTCCTACTTCCTATTTACAACTTCGGGGGTTACAATATTCACTTGAAGGGAGTTGAAGATACGGATGAAACTTTTACATTGCAGGATGTCATTTTATAATCTAAAATTGACGAGTTTATAGAAATATGCATATAAATTGTATTCCATTTGGTTTTCACACACTGTATATTGCATGTAGCTTCAAACTATTTAAATTAGATTTAGACAGATTATTGAAAATTGTAACAATTCTTTTTTTGATATTCTCTAGAATAAATCTAAATTTTTACTATAAATTTATCTCATTTGATTTGTACACATAATTTGAAATTTTCTATTTCAAAACTGAAACGGTTGCTATCAAATGACGTGAGTATCCATTCTTATTATTAATAGCCGATAAGTGTTTACGAAGATGACTCGATCTTTTATTATTGTGGATGATGAGATCTTTGAGCGGCAGCCAAATATGTTGAAATTAGGTATCTAGTAAACAAATTCAATTAAATAAATCAATTCTTAACCTATTTCAACTTTTCAGTGGCATATATCCGATTTACAAAACTTTATTGATGGGTATTTTTTTTTTTAAATAATATGTATGTAAATGTATTTCAAGAACATCTTGTATTATAGTAGAAAACTATTATTTTACGTGCTAGTTTTGATTTACAGCAAATGATTTATTTGTCTCAGTCAAAGGAAAGTGCTATTTTTTACAAGAATCGATTAGCTAACTATAATCGTACAGTGTACAATATTGCATCGAAGGAATGTTTTTGCTAGCTCTGGAATGAAGTACACAGCAAACGAGATGCTGCTGAAATAGGTTCCTACTTCTATAAAGCACGTACTGTTTACGACTCTGAAAATGGGGTTAAATCGATTGCTCTTTTTTTAGATGGTTGCAGCGGTCAAAATAAAAATTCGATTACTGCAACCATGCTTCTGTATACGGTGGCAAACTCTAAAAACATAGAGGAGATATCGCTTAGATTTTTTGAGTCATTCCGTGGGCAGAATGAGGGAGATTCTCCACATAGTGCTATTTCAACTGCACTAACAACCGCAGGTTATATTTTTGTACCATCACAGCTTCACCCCATTATGCGCCTTATCCGAAGAAAACAACCATACAGAGTAATACCTCTAGAGCAGTGGTCGCCAACCTCTCAATGTGTTGAGCTACTTTGTTAATTTTGGAATAAACAGCGAGCTACCCACACGGAAGCCACGTAACGCAACGTAAATGAAATAATCCACAGTTAATTTATCATTATATGTATTTATTTTACTATTTAACTGGTAATACATAATACATAGGTACTAATAATAAACTAATCACAAAATAACTAATATTACTAGTACGTACTTGTTCATAGCTACATTCCTACCTACCAAACGAAGGTGTTTGAAAAATAAACACAAACTTTTATCCAGCCACAACGCATGTCACGTAAGATTTAAAAATAGTTAATAATAACAACAAAAAAGTAACGCACTATCATGAACATAAACATTGAAAAATAAAAAAGCACGTTCAATGAGAAGTGTCAGCCTTCGATAATTTTTTTAATGTTTGCAGTATAATTTGATACAGCCATTCGAATACAATTATCCAAATGTTCATCTGTAAGTCGATTGCGATATTTGTTATTAATAAATTTCATATTGGAAAAAGAAGATTCACACAAATAGGTTGAACTAAATAATGCTTTCACTTTCAAGGCAACACGGCAAAGAACTTAATATTTGTCTTTACTTACAATAGGCCAGATACATTTGGTACTTGAGACTAACGATTTTAAGGCTAAATCATTTTGAAACTCAATTACTTCCATTTCTGTTGCGGCGATATCTTCGCCAAAGTTCTGCATAACACAAGTTGCAAACTGTTGGATATCAATTTCCATAAAGGGTAAAACAACAAACTGCGCTACTAAAGCCATTTCGTTGAAGAAGTTATTCTTCAGGGTAGAAACTATTTCTACATGATATTTGCTGTCATAGGGTTCTAATGGATTTTGAGATATTTTTTCTGAAAGAATAGGCAAATGCTTGGCATCGCTGTTAATTAGGTTTTGTTCCCAAAACTCCAGCTTTTTGATAAATGCTTTTATATCAGAAATCATTTATGCTAGTTATTTGTCTCTCCCCTGAAGCTGCAAATTAAGTTCGTTTAATTTTTCTGTAATGTCCACGAGAAAACCAAAATCTCTAAGCCAAATTGAATTTTCTAGTTCTGGAGTCGGTTCATCGCGTTGTTTGAAAAATTGAACTATGCCAGATAGGACATCATTAAAACGTTTCAGTACCCGTCCTCTACTTAACCATCGGACTTCAGAGTGAAGGAGCAGGTCCCCGTATTGACAGTCAACTTCATCGGCCAAGGTTTTGAATAATCTTCTTTGTAACGTTTGAGCTCTAATCTTGTTCACAATTTTTACCACCAGTTTCATAACGTTGTTTAGTTTCAGGAAATTTCCACATAATGCTTGCTGATGGATAATGCAGTGGTAACAGAGAAATTGCGGAAAAGTTTCATCTTTACGACATAACGTCACCAGACCCTTATCACAACCCACCATAGCTGGAGCGCCATCGGTTGTCAAGCCTACCATTTTCGATATTGGAATTTTCTCGGAAGGAATAATATTTTTTAAATGAGAAAACAACTCCTGTCCAGTAGTGTGTCTTTTCAGTGGAATAAACTTCAAAAGATCTTCTTTAATCGTAAAATCACTAAAAATCATCCTGACGAACACGGCCATCTGGGCAGTGTCAACGACATCTGTTGATCCATCCAGTTGAAGTGAAAAATAAACACAGTTATCTAAGTCAGTTCTTAATTGTAAAAAAATATGATTGCTCATTATTTCTACACGTCTCATCACTGTATTAGCAAAAAGTTGCATAGATTTTTATAGCTGAAACTATCTCGTCTTTATTTCTAAAGCTGGCAAATAACGAATCAGCAGCTTCTAAAAACGCCTGTTTTATCATTTCCCCGTCTTCGTAAGGTTTCTTTTTTTGTGCAATTATCTGGGACATACGGTACGATGCTTCAGTTGCAGCCTTATTTTTGTCAACTGTTCTTAAAAATATTGATTGTTGTCCAATTAACTGCTTTTGTAACTGTTTCAGTTTCTCCTTTCTGTCGACAGAATGTAGTGGGAATGATTTTTCAAAATTAGAATGTACACTTTTATGATGTCTCTCAATATTTCCTTTTTTAGCAACGGAGATTGAAGTATTACATAACAAACACACATTTTTATCTTTAACTTCTGTAAAAAAGTATTGTTCTTCCCATTCTGAATGAAAATGGTATGTCTTTACCTTCTTACAACTGCTTGTGTTTAGATTTGAACATTTTTCTTTATATTCACCTAATAAATTAACATCCTGTATACGAAATTAATTATTTTATTTATTTTAAATATTTAATTTCGTATACAGGATGTTAATTTATTAGGTGAATATAAAGAAAAATGTTCAAATCTGAACACAAGCAGTTGTAAGAAGGTAAAGACATACCATTTTCATTCAGAATGGGAAGAACAATACTTTTTTACAGAAGTTAAAGATAAAAATGTGTGTTTGTTATGTAATACTTCGGTCTCCGTTGCTAAAAAAGGAAATATTGAGAGACATCATAAAACTGCATAATATTATGTTTTGTTGTTCTCTACTAACCCAACCGCTGGACGTTGGTTACGCGTTCAGTTTTAAACTAAGCGCAATGTCGCCGCGCCTTGCGTATTTATCCCGTTCAAAGCAATCCTGATCGTTCTCGAACACTGACGCGCTGGTCCGGGAGGTCGGTTCTAGCCGATTCTAGCTTGATGGCGTCAGCGGCAGATCGCTCACCGCAACGTTGCCGCTGTTTATGTTTAATATTATGATTTTTTTGTGGAATTTTCGGAAGCTTCTCTGATTTTTGCAGTTTGTATTTTTTAAATTAAAATCGTTGTGAGAGCTACCAGAATTGCTTCCGCGAGCTACTGGTAGCTCGCGATCGGCAGGTTAGCGACCACTGTTCTCGTATGCCAAAAATTAGATTTTAGATTTTTACTGTTACTTGTTGCCATTTGGTTTAACTTTATAGAAATCTTTAAAACTATATATCCAGTATATCTATATTAAATAATTGTTTTTATATTTTTCAGTATGCAATCATTCTTCTCACTATCTTCATCTTACAAGTCGCCATTGGAGTTTACGCATTCTTGCAAATTAGAGACAAGCCCGCTTTCAATAAAGCTATAGAGGAAAATGTTAGAAAAACTTTCGACAATATGCGTCAAAGTCACGAAGCCAATGAAACAATGCAAATCACACAAAGATGGGTAAGTACAATAACAACACCTGCATACAAAAAAAAGTTGTCAGTACTTTTGACGGGACCGGTATATCTTTATGTATTTCGACCCGCTGAATCTGAATCTGAGGTCCTTTTGACCCGTACACCGTCAAATTTTCGAGAAAACTTTGAAAAACCGAAAAAGATGACGAAAATCGGTAGTTTTTCTAATATTAAACATAAGATATCTTTATAAACAAAATAAGGATGAAAGGGGATTTTACCAATATCCTTTTTGTTCCTTTTTATTATAATTTTTGACATGTTTATCAACATTTTTTATTAAAATCAATATTAGAAAATTAGAGGTATGCGCAGTTGTCTAAAATAAAATTAAAAATATAACATTGAATGGGCCAAACGATGTGATTCTGGGCTCGTAAAACCACAGCACAGCTTATCTATTATTATATAGAAGGTAAACTGTGATAAAAGTGTAATTAAATTCTCTTTATTACTACTGTAACTATATTACAATTCCAAACAATTTTACGTTTTAAAAGATATTTAATTATTTGCATTAAGGCCGGGCGTGGGCATGAACAGAAGCTTTTTAATAGAAACTACAAGTACCGTAAAATGGGGCGAATAGAAACAGGTTTCATGTTATTGTGTAACGCTATTGCGATGTTTGATGAGATAATGTAGTTTAAATTAGTGTAAAACTTGGGTCTTAGTCTCTTCTAGATGAAGTGTACTATAAATTATTAAAAAAAAATTAATTTGTATTTCATTTTTTTTTTCGTTGTGTTTCTATTCACCCTACAAATGGGGTTAAAAGAAACACATACTTAATTGAGCGTTTGTATCTATTCATAGCATTGTGGGGTGTCTAGAGACTTCAAAAGAAAAATTCAGTTTGATTAAATCAGTTTTATTTAACACAAAAATCTTAAAACGATCTAAAAACAAAAAGTTCAATATATTCATCTACATAGTATATGTAAATATAAACAGATGAATCGGTAAATAAAATTAGTATATTGTCAAATCACTGAGATTATCCGGAAAAGAAAGCATATCTTTGAATCGACCAGAGGAAAAAACAGTTGGAGAAGACAACCCTCGAACTATATCAGCATGATCTATGAACGACTCTTCAGTTGTTACAGAAAACTTCATTGTCTCGCCGCCCTTTTTATAAAAAAGTCCCACATACCCATCATCAACGAGATAACAAATTTTGATCACGTACAATCTAACAGACTGCTTGGTCTTACCGTAGACTTTCGCAATTGCAAAATCTCCAAGGTGAAGGGTCTCGGTACTTTTACGTGTAGGACTATTTGTGAAGGAATTTTCTTTATCTTCAGAAAATAATAGGTCCAATTCATCATCACTGTCTTGAAGGGAATATTTAGAGCTCACTGACGATGAATCTTCATCATTCGTTTTTGTATTTTTCTTTGAACGAGTAGGATGTTTGCTTGAAGAAGGTACCGGTGTTACAGCTTGGGTGCAACCTGCAGGGTCGATATCTGCTTGATATTCCTGTATGCCGATGCTTTTACCTGGTTGAACAACACATTTTTTCCTAGTCTTCCGGGGTTTTGGGGTGTCTCCTTGCCTCAAAAAGTGTCGTCGATTGATTCAACGGTACACATCTGTAATGTCTGGATGGGGTCAGTATTAGGTAGCATTGACAATACTTTGACTCGACATATAGGGACAATACCACATTTTTTGAAACCGGAAATAACATTATCTTGTTATGTTGAACATAGCTGATTTAGCAAACCAGGAAATTTGTCTTTTGGAACAGTCGACTCATTTCTACTCCTTTTTTCCAAGTTTCTAAAATATGACACCGTCCAAAAAGCCACGTCCAGTGGCTGGGTCAGGTGGGTTGAATTGCTTGGGAAAAAAATGAATTTAATATTGTTCTCCTCACACAATCTAATTGCCTCCAATGACAGATGTGATGCTAAATTATCACCAATCAAAAACTTTTGTCCCTCAAGCCTTCGCATATAGGGGACTGCTACAGTTTCAACCCAATATTGAAAACAGAAGGGATCGAACCAGCCCGATTTTGTTCTATTGTAACGAGAGTTCTTAGGGCCATTTTCAGTCCAACTTTGGTAGAGATATAGGGCTTTATATACCACATAAGGAGGTAATATATGACCGTCCCCAGCAGCAGCAAACATCACAGAAACCCAAGATTTGGTAGAGTTCATTACACGTTCCGGATATTTGCATCCTCTTCTGGTAATAACTTTCTTCCTCCCTGAGTCATCAGATAAATTCGTCTCGTCATAATTAACGATGTTACCAGCTGGTACGTCTTTCAATTCCACCTCGAGGTTGTCAAAGTATTCGTTTATCAGCTCCGGAGAAATAGCAGCCCTGCTTCTTTTTATAATTTGGCACATCCTTAAAGATAAGGCTTGTTTATGTCTTTCGATAAAATAATATACGAAGTCCCTACGAGGTAAATTGTCTTTGAACACTTTTATGCTTTTTCCCTGACGATCTAAAAACTCTTTTACTAAGAGTCTTAATGTCAGGGAATCAATGGGATAACCCCAGTCTCCACATACCTGTAGTCTGTTTACAAGAATGGATTACTCCATATCAGATAAAGCCGTCTGTCCACCTTGTGTTTTCATTTGTTTTCCCCGTTTGAAATGTCTGTAAAGCACGCTGAAATGAATGCCATGCTTTTCTGACGATTTTCTTAAACTTATCCCTGACCGTATATCTAGAATTGCACTTTTGATTTTTTCCTCAGAGTGCTTTTTATATTGTTTAGTAGTTTCACTACTTCGTTTGTATTTTCGGGGCATGTTTCGGGTACAATCTAAAAAAACAACAAATTATTTAATAGTAATCTATAATATAAGGATACAACAAACTATAAATGACTGCACAAACGTCGTTTCTGACAGATCATCTAGTTACAAACCTACTAATATAAGTTTATTACTTGTGGGGTCAATAGGAACACTGTTTCTATTCACCCCACAGATTCTAAATAGAAACGTCACAAAAAACAAAAAATCATTGCTGACAAACTAATGTGAAATATCAAAAATTAAACATAAACCTATTGCTAAAACACTGTGTGTAACGTTTACAACGTACCAGTGATATATTACATGCATAAAAAGTACTGGGAGCTCTAAAAAATCACAAATCTTAACCTCAAAGTCAACTGTCAACAGAAGGAATTTACAGGTGTGCCAACATAACAAATTTTAATTTTTCTATTAGTTTTAGGTATAGCCAACTTCACGATGACTATAAACTACTTTTTTTATTGTTTATTTATTATTTCCCGCCAAAAATTTAGCAATGTTTTGTTTCTAATTAGCCCACTGTTTCTATTCACCCCATTTTACGGTAAGAGGAAATTGAAAAAATTCTTGCCGGTAATAGATATAATATTCTTTTTTTTTTTTTGGTATGGATGGATTTTTTTCCACCAAAAACCTTTCACCTCAACTACCAAACACGCACAGGAGAGCTATTTTGAAGAATGTTACAGTTACGTGAGCGCTTGTTTGTTGCAAGTAATTTTTCTCTTCAACATTAATATTTGCCACGTTTCCTTCTTAGTGCCGTTTGTACCATGCAATTTGGACCAATAATAACCGAGATATAGACTTTGTAACGTTTAGATTTAACCTTATTCGCTCCGTGCGCGACAGCAGCGCCAATTTGTTTTGGGATTAAAGGAGTATTTCTGCCTATACTGACAAATACAATTTTTAATAGAATTCGTAAATAAAAAGTATATATGTTATTTTTAATAAAAGTATATGGATTTATAAGACAATTAAAACATTAATTTATTATTATTATATATTTTTCACGCTTAAATTGAAGAAAATTATGTATAATCATTAAAAATCAATAATAAAATATAGGCAGGCAACAGTATTTACTGGAAAATGTATGAGAAGTTGCCTAAGTCTAATAAGTTGTCATTGAAGAAACCATTTATAATAGCGTGAAGTTAAAATGTATAAAAAGGATTGCTACTTATATTTTCATTTTTGTTCTAAAGAAAACATAGAATGAATGATTAAAACTGGTTTCCGAACAGTAAGTCACAAAATTGCATACCGGCCAAATATTATAATCAACGGCAGAAATCTTGAAATCTAGTCCTTGCTGAATGAACATTTAAGAATAAAGGGATATTAAAGAACATCGTAAAATGATAATTTATTGTTTATTTAAAAACTTTCTAGTTTCTGATGTCTACTATTTCCAGCATTACTGTTATTATCACAAAAATAAAGGTAATTTTTCTTCTTATTGTACACCTATCCATTTATTTCTTTGATTTAATTTCCACTTTGTTAGTGAAATTTGTTATATAAGTTTCACTGTTTTTTTTTGCTAGTATTTGTACAATTTTCAACACAGCAATTCCGGTTGCTTATTGTGTTGTTTTTACCTACTTTTTTGAAAAAAAGTAAAATGTATACGTGTATTTGATATGCCAAAATTACACAATATCCCCCTAAAATGCACGAATTATCCGCAGCTAGCGCTAGTATCGCTTTTGCTTCCCTTTCCATGACTTCGCACGGAGCGAATAGCGGTTATTCATTAAAATAGGGATGCGCTTGTTTTGTTCAGCAATTTCCGTACTCAGTACTTCTAAACGGTCCTTGTATACACACATTTAAACTACTGTGATTACCTAGTTTGATGGATCGACAGGCGACGGCTGATTTCTATCAACTGACTGTCGAAGGCGTTTCTTCGCGAGTCTTTTTCCATAGATGCAGGGTTTTTATGGACACTCTGGGCGAGTAGGTGGCTGTCCTGTATTCAAGATGTCTATCTAGCGTTTTGGCCACCACGATAATTGTGGGTATATGTTCAGTTTGGGGTAGGTAGGACCTCTATTTGAGTTTAGCTAGGCTATTTATTTCGTTTTAGAGGTTTGTTTGGTTATTTTAGCCCTTTCTGTCAAGAATTTATTTCGTAATAAAGGGCGCTGAGGGGACATCTATTTGCCACTAAGGT